TAGTGATAGAAATTGTCTCTGTCTGTGCCATAATCACTTATCACACGTGACTGTGTAAGTTTAAATGTTCCTCAGTCACACTAGCCATGGCTTACATGCTCAGTAACCAGTGTCTGGCAACCCCAACCTGGACTGCAAAGAAATAAGTCCTTTTCGTCATTGTAGAAAGTCCCTTTGGAAAGCTCTGTTCATGCTGCTTTAACAAAATGCCATAAACTAAGTAGCTTCTAAACAGTAGAAGCTTACCAAGTTTTTGGGGCCAGGAAGTCTGAGATCAAGGTGCTTGCAGATTGGGTGTCCTGTGAGGGCTGCCTTCTGGTCCATAGTTGGTACCTTCTTGCCGTGTGGCAGTGAACGAGGTGAGGCAGCTCTCTGGCATCGTTTTCACTGACACCAACTGCACTCCTGAGTGCTTACCTTCATAACCGACCTACCGCCGCAAGTTCACACTCCCCCTGCTGTCATCGGTGACCGGGTTCAGCATGTGAGTTGGGCAGGGGTTCAAACACTTGGGGGCATAGCAAAGGGAAACACATAGCTGAAGGCCTGAGAGGCGAGTTGGAATTAAAAGGCGGCTTTTGTAGTACCATTAGGGGCAGGACTTACAATCCAATCAGTCTTCATTATGGGGACCCACACTTACAGGTTAATTTTAGTTTTTCTGGGTTCTAAAACTCCTTTTGTGCCCCACCCCCCCAATGGGTCTGAATAGTGTTGGCTGTGTTGAAAGCATGCCAGTGGTGTTTGTTTGCTGGCAGGTAGAGATGGAGTTCTTTAAGCCCATGTGGTGAATTGTTTCCTGACACAGTTTTTAAACACTTTGCAATGTAATTAATGGAATAATGAAAGTAAGAAGTCCACATTGAATGCTTTCCTTTGAGCTGGCATGAACCATGCATGTGGTTAGTACTTGCTCTGTACTCTAAAACCATTGAACAAAAGGGATGAGTAGGAAGCTGGGTTGGATGTTTCAGGGCCTCGTTCAAGGGCAAGGCTATGTGTTGCCTCTGTCCTTCACTATTTGGAACACTGATATGGGGACTCTTCATGGTTAGTGGAAGTTTGACAGTCGAAGCTTTTGTGCTAATATGGTTTATTGTCTGCTTTCGGAGATTATTGGTAAGGTATTTACTTTATGCATCAGGTTAAATCACTTTCTTCTGTTTTGATAAGACTTGGTCTCTCTTCCCCAAGAAAGAATTTTACTTAGGAAACTAGTACCAAAGTCTGCTAGGGGCAAGACACTTTGTTCGTGTTGGGGCATTTAGAAGAGCAGGGCAGGGTCTGGGAAAGAGACAGCTTGCCTTTTAGCTTACTGCATGGATAGCTGATAAGTACTGTTTGTCTTTCAACAGTTTTCTTAAGTTTAATTTGTTTTGAGCAGAGTCTTCTACATGCTAATGCTGTGAACTTAGAGTCATCTGGCCTCAGCCTCTAGTGTGCTGGGAGTTGTGTGTGTGCCACTTTGCCTGGCTTTGTGAAATAGTATTTCAAATGAGCCCCCTTCCCCCCCATATCACTAAGAATTGAACACTTAGCCTTAAATGAGATGAAAAAACAGTCTAGCAGTTGTTGAGCACTTATCTACTGATTGATTTTTGGGGAGGGGTGGAGGACCAGGGTATTAGGTAGCTCAGTGTGACATCAAACTCAGTATATTTGAGAGACTGACCTTGAACTGCCATCCTCCTGCCTCCGTTCCCCAAGTTCTGGAACTGTAGGTATATGCCACATGCCTCGTGTAGTATCATTCTTTTTATTGCTGTGATAAAACATCATGACCAAGGCAATTTAACAGAAAGTAACTGGGCTCACCTGAGTTCTAGAGGGTGGCGCCCATTATAGGGAGTGAAGGCAGGGTGGCAGGAGCAGCTGAGCTCACACCGCCAACTGCCAGCAGGCGGCAGAGAGAGCTAACGCAAAATGCTGTGAATCCTTAAAGCCCGTCCCCAGTGACACACTTCCACAAGCAAGGCCACACCTCCTAATCTTCCCCAAACAGGATTCAAATGCCTGAGACTCCTGGGAACTTTCATTCAAACCACCACACCTACCTTACCGAGTGCTTAGGAAATACTCATCTGTATATTTGATTTTACTTATACCTTTGAAGAATCCTGAGAAATACCTATACTGTGGTTAAAGAAACAAAACAAATGAAAAGAAAGAGGTAGGATTCAAATGTTCTGTTTAGAACAAGAGAACCAGAAAGGGTGAATAAAGGTGACATTAAAGCAGAGGGGGTACTGGGGAGGGAGGGGCCCAGCAGGAGGGGAGACAGGGATGGGGAGAAGGATAAACAAAATACACATGCAAAACGCCATTATGAAGCCTACAACTTTGTATGAGAATAAAAACCAACCAACCAACCAACCAACCAACCAAAACTAGCCTTTAATCCCAGAATTTGGGAGGCAGAGGTGGGCGGATATCTGAGTTCTCGGCAAGCCTGGTCTGCAGAGTGAGTTCCAGGACAGGACAGCCAGGGCTGCTAGAGAAACCCTGTCTTGAAAACCCAAATCCAAACCAAACCCAAACAACTCCTTCTCACTCCCCCCCCCCAAAAAAAAACACTGAAAAGTTCCTATAATGTTGCCTTTGAATGGAGAATTCTTCAGAGCCCTTCAAATGACCTGACTGATGGTGTGAGTGATAAGAGGGTGTGGTGTCTGAGTGAGGTGTCAACCAAAGAGGATGAAGGGAAAAGGGAAGATGGGTTACCTGGGCTTCATTACTGACAATTTATCACTTGTAATTTGACAGATACGGTAAACTGGTTTCACCGGGTTCCAGCTAGTTTCTCCCCCTCACTCCCCTTCTCTTCCCTCCTTTCTCCTCCCCTTCTGTACCTCCTGTTCTGTCCTGCCCTTTCTCGTCCCCTCCTTTCTGCTGGAAATCATACCCAAGTCTTGGTACTTGCTAGCCACGTGCTGTGCCGCTCAGCAACACCTTCTTCCTGACTTTTTTTCTGGTTTCCTTAATTTTTTTTTTATTCTTTGAGAATTTCATACATGTATATAATTTACTTGATCATATTTATCCCTGTTCCATTTCCCCTTGGCTTCTTGATATGACTTCTGTCACTTAAGCTCAAGGTCCTGTTTCCACTTTGGGCCCTTTATTTTTTGTCTCCTTGAAAGTTTGAGGCAGATATTGTGCCTGGGAGTTGTTGTGAGTGTTGATGCCAAAGAAGTAGGTGTGCCTGTGTTATGGGGAGTCCCAGAGTTCCTACTGTCGTGGAAAGGCTTGTGTTTCTCCAAGTTAGACAGCTGCCACTTATGGTCCCCCGCTTTGGAATCCTAGGAACTCACCCTTAACGGTGCTGGTGTTGACAGATGATCCTGCTGAATTAGGTTTATTCTGTAACTGCAGGGAAGAGGCATAGGCCGGAAGTACCATCACAATTTTAAGCATTTAGAAATACTTCAGTGACATTCAAATTTATTTTTATCCAAGGCAATATTCACTTATATAATATTCCTCTTATCAAACTCCTGAAAAGCTAAAGCCAATCATCTAAAGAATGCGTTAGTGTTCAGCAGTTAATAACTTTGGTGTGGCTATGCTAAATAAGGCATGGCTAATGAGGTATGTACAGCCTTTATTTAGGATAATTTAAAAATTTCATCAGTAAATGTTTTAAATTTACAGCTAAAAATGGAAAAAGCTGCTAAGCGGAAAGGAAAAGCTCTGTCGCCAGCAGGTACAAAGCCTTCTTGAAGACCGTCGGACAGATTGAAGCCGCCATCCGGACGCATCTTCTACTTATTTAAATTTATTTTCTCTCAGCCTATGTAATTTCTAATGTATACATATGTCTTTTGAATTTTGCTTAGCTTATTGAAACAAGTGAAATGAAATTTGTCAGAATTCACGACTTAGCACTTTCAATGCTTTTTAAATAGTCACTGTGTAGCCTAGCCTGGCTTTGAAGTCATAGTACTGCTGCCTCAGCATGTGTACGCCTTTCCTCTCTCTCAGTGAGTTATAGATGTTATTTTCATATGATTAAAACCCTGAAAGTACAATAGATATTTTTAGTTTATCATAATTTAACTTTCGTAGGCTATCTTAAAAATTAAGGGTATTATTATAGACTTTAAACAAATACATATGGGCCAGATTTTCATTCAAAATGGAAAGTTAAAACCATTAGTTTTTACTTTTTAAGCTTTGGAATGTTAACTTATGTTTTTAACTAAAAATTATATTTTAAAATTATAAGCCTCTTTCTAATAAAATCACTTGATTTTTTTACATTGTCTTACCAAGTTGCCCATTGTGTATAAATGTATTGGACACCTCCTGTTATAGCACATATATACACATACATACATACATACACCTAAATGTAGTAAAAATTTAATTAAAAAATAACCTAAGGCAGTTGCATGACAAAGTGACACTTGTCATTCTCAAAATCCACTCCTGCTACCTTTCACTGACTCCAAATTAATAATCAGGATCAGGTCTTAGTATACCCCACCAGGAAATAGTCTTTCCACAGGAGAGTAGTTACGGCCTGAATGGACTGCAGATTCTGGTCCAAGGGTGTTGGCTGGAACCCAGGAAACATGTCTGAGAGCAGATCTTGAGACTATGCTGGATCAAAGACTAGGAGGAAAAAGGAAAATGAAGTTTGGTAGGAAAGGATGAGGTGGAAGCCCTCATACCGATACGGCATCTGAACTCTGACAAAGGTGCCTGCAGCTGGTCCTAAGAGACTGTAGGGATGGTGTGCAGAGGATATAGAATATCTGTATGGAGTTCCAGAAGTTATTTGGCATAATACCGAATAAAGGGGTCAGAAACTCAGGGGTGGGAGAGTGTTAAAAACAGGAGGAGCAGCATGGCTGTTGTGGACAAAGAACTTGTCACTGCTGAGTAAGGCCAGTTCTCTGCCTGCCAGGAGGCAAGGACCAACCAACCTCAAGGTGCTGACCCTGCAAGGTCACCCTGATTCTGGGCAAGAACAGGATATCTGAGATGAGTCTCAGTGATAGTCCAGTATACATGGTGCTTCAGAAACCAGAAACCTGGAGCCAGACCAATGACTCACTGCAGTAAGTATTTGCATGTACAGTTGTTTGGGTAAATTATATATATACTGTGTGACACACTGCACTTTGCAGTTCCACTTCAGTGAATAAATGATGGATGGGGAGGCGGAAAAGATAAGAGAATGGAGTTGCAGGCCAGGTGGGAAGAGGCAGTACTACAGACACAGTGGTGGCCTCAGGTGTGGGAACATGGCACGCTGGTGCTGAGTAGAGCTAAGCTGGCGGGGTGGTGTGCAGCAGCCCGGAGCTCAGGCGAGTGCTGCCCAGTCACACCATTTCCCTGGCTCCGAGCAACGAATGGCAGGATGTCTGAGATGGAGAATGGTTCATTTCTGGATTGGGTCTCCTCGAAAGACCTCCATGGTTTGTGCTGCTGCTGGAGGCTGAGTTGTCTGTGGTCCATGTGGCTGCTGCCCAAGGCCATGCTGATATCCATGGTCCTTGCTGCCGCTGAAGCCATGTGGAAGTCCATGATCTGTGCTGCTGCTGGCTGTTATGGGCAAGGAAGCTTCTTTTGCAGTGGTATCAATGACTGAAGAAGGCTTGAGAATGAGAGACTAAATTAAAGGCTTCTGTGACAGCTCCCCCCACCAAAAGAACAAACAAACAAAACCCCAACCCACCACCACCACCACCATCTAGACAGGAAGCCATTGAAGAGAGTTCTTAGAAATTGTGATAGGGATCCTGAAGTATAGCTCTTCACAGCTGATGATTTCTGGTGGGGGTGGGTTGGGGCTGGGGAAGGACTCAGTTATCTTTAAGGGGCTGGCCACTGGGAGTTTGAACACTTTCCAATGAGTATATGGGCAACACAAATTGGACTTGGTGTATTTTTTTCTTTTATTGGGGAGGGCCCAAGGATGGGAGGGTGAGTCTAGGGGGACTGGGAAGTAAGTGTGATTGGGATGCATTGTGTGAAATTCCCAAATAATAAAAATAGTATGTTGGAAAAAAAATTCTGGAGAAGCTATAGTCTGCATTTTTCCTAGGAAGGCCTGGATGATATCACTAAGGTCTTAAGACAAGCAATGGCCAAGAATGTCCTGGAAACAGAACTCATCGGGTCTGACCACTACAGATTTAGAATTAGTGGAAGATACAGCCATTATCCTAGACTCTGTCAGAGCAGACTGATAATGGAATATCAAGTTGTGGAATTTGACTGCCAGAGGCTTAATGTACTAAATGGGAAACAAGGCATGAATGAGTCTGATTAAATTTAAGTTCATGATCCAAAGGGAAAGACAGAAAGACAAGATATTTGAGGTGTGTAACTACTCCTGCCTCATCTCTCAAACACAACAAATACAATACAACAAACCCAAGTCCCAAACTGTGGAAACTGGCATGCAGAAAGCTCACATAAGTCCTGGTAATGAATACAGAAAAAACAACAACAACAAAACAAAACAAAACAAAAAACAAAAAACAACCAACCAAACTCCAGTTTCTTACCTACTTACCAGTTTCAAGGCAGTTCAGTCTTGGTTCTAGGAGGAAGGGAGATTCCAGATCCCTTACAGGAAGTGTCTTAGTTAGGGTTCCTATTGCTGCGACAGAACACCATGACCATAAAGCAAGTCCGGGAGGAAAGTATTTATTGGGCTTACACTTCAGCATTGCTGTCCACCACTGAAGGAAGCCAGGACAGGAACTCAAACAGGGCAGGAACCTGGAGGCAGGAGCTGATGCTGAGGCCATGGAGGGGAGCTGCTTACTGGCTTGCTTCCCATGGCTTGCTCAGCCCACCTTCTTTATAGAACCCAGGACCAGCAGCCCAGGGATGGCACCACCCACCATAGGCTGGGCCCTCCCCCATTGATCACTAAATGAGAAAATGCCTTACAGCTGGTGTCGGGTTGACATGCAAAACCACCCAGTACAGGAAGGATCCTCACTATCCCTCGAAAATCCTTATGAGGTCACAGTCAGAGCAGGGCAGGAAAAGGAACTTGTGACAGGGGCCATCACGCTTTGATGGTGGTATTATAAATTAGCGTCGCTTCTTTGTTAAACAGTCGGGCAATGTCTTATACACACTTCTACCGTTTAGACAACCCCTAGGGGACATTAACCCAAAAGAAATGAAAAACATGTCCACACAAAGACTTGCAGACCGTAGTAGCTTTGTCTGAAACAATTCTAAAGTGGAAACAATCCCTATGGCCACAGAAATGTAGAAAAACTGTTATGCATCCACAGTAGACCAGTGCATGGGAATAAAATGTTACAACCTAGTGATACATAGAAGAAAACAGCTGAAATTACCTTAAAATACTCATGCCATTTGAAGAAGGCAGATAAGATGATCATTATATATGATCCAGTCAACACTTTCAGAAAATGAAACCAGTATCCAGACACAGGAAGGAGAGCCATGATACTGTAAATGGGCTTGAGGAAACTTCCGAAGCTGAAGGAAATGTTTCATCGTGGGGATGACTTCAACGATACACAAAACTATTAACATTAAATATTGATACCTGCAGTTTATGCTAATTTTACTTCAAACTTTAGCAATTAGTTGGAGGGCTGGGTACACGCTCAGTGGTTTGATCTTGTGGGAGGATCTGGGTTTAATTCCCAGGTTTGCATCAACTAGAGATGGTTTTCAGCTGTGCACTATTTGTGCCACATGGATTACTTGCCCGTGACCGGATAACTCAGCCACATCCATTCCCTTCCCCTCTTGATGTCCTGAGGAAAAAAAAAAAGACTCTCCCGCTCCCCCGCCATGTTAGCCGTGGCCGCAAAGGTTCGGGGAGAGATGTGCGTGAAGCTATGGACTGATCTCCAAAAAGACACCGTCCCTTCGCAAGTTATTCTCTTTTTCCACCTTGGGAAAAGGACATCCGGTTTCTCATAATTTTTGGCTTTCTTCTTTCTTTTGTAGTTTAAATCCCCTCGTGCCTAAACGAGGAGGCGCCACGCGACCCCACGCCACGGCCTTACGTCACTGACGCCCGGGGAAAGGAGGCGGCCATTGGCCGACCGGGGCGCGGGGGGAGCCGTCCTATAAATTCCCAGC